CTTGAAACATCGACTTCGGTGGTTTGGACATGTTCTACGAATGTCGTCCCAGAGAATTCCACATCGTGCATTATTTGCCGACTCGGACTGGTTGGAAAAACCGAAGAGGTGGTCAGTGCATGACATGGTGTTGTGGTATGAAAGAAAGCTGCAAAGGGCTGGCTTCTGTTGGTCCTTCACGACTCCCTGGTTGGGATCTGAGAGATGGTGCTACACAGTGGCTAGAGACGTTATCAGATATGGCTCAGAATAGAAGCCAGTGGCGATCCTGCTGTAACTTTTACTTTCTTCGTAAAAAGTGGTTGTATCTCCCTTAACTGAAAGATTTCTTCTGGTTGTATCTCCCTTAACTGAAAGATTTCTTCTGGTTGTACCCTCCCGTTTCCCCATTATTACTATTATTATTATTCTCTTTTTCTTTCACGCCCCTTACTTTTTTTCCTTGTCTTTAAATTCTTATTGTTTTGTGTGGCGCATATATATTCGGTGCCCTTTTGTACCAATATTTATGTGTTCAAATAAATAAATAATAAATTGGTGCAGATGGTCGTCATGTTAGATGATGTTTCTCTCTGTGCTTAGAATTAGTGTTTGCTAAAAATAAACGATTGTCTTAACACATGGGGTGTATCTCGTAGGCTCTCCGTTTTGGCGAAGTGAGGTCAAGTGAATAACCACACTAGGATCTTGTATACGTGTTTCGGAGACATATTAGAGCGTGATCGGAGTCCAAGCAGGTATTCCAGAACGAACGAAAAAATTCTATCCACACATCATACACCAATGGTACGAGATTCTAGGGTTTTAGCTAAGGAGGCCTGTTGGCCGACTTGATACAGGGTGCATACGTTGAAGGCTCCAATGTGTAGTTTGGAGCGAGGTTTTTTAGTAGACCTGGGACAGTGTTTTACGCACTAGAATCGTTGGTCATGGTGACACTTGAGGAGGAAGTAAAAGAGGAAGATTAGAGTTGAAAGTCGAGGTAGGAGGAATAATAGGAATTGAAGAGAGAAATTGATCATGAATACAGTGATCTTGAGCACTGTTAGAAGCATGAGGGTAGTTATCACTTCCCAGTTGCCCACACCGTGGAAGGGCTATTCTGGAGGTACCTGAAGACGAAATTAGCTTAGAGGTGGTCTTAGTGAAATGAGAGTGTGACCACAGTGCCCAAGGGACAACTGCTTGAGGTCGGTCAGATACGATCTTTTTGTGGGCAATTTTCGTGTTAGCTCCGTAATTGTTGAGATCTTACCGCCGGAGAAGGAAATCCGTGGGATAAGACGAGGCGTGCATTTCTAGGGTCGACCTTTTCTAACCTCATCCCTCTTTGTGGGAAGGCAGCATCACTGTTATGCGGGTTTTCTAAGGGGAACACCTTACTGCCGTCACACCTCTGTACAGTCAGCAGTACGATTTCGCCCTCAGACCTTGGGTTTGTTACTTTTAGTCTTACCGCTCCTTAACCGACCTGTCTGGCATGGTAGGACCTTGAGGGACGATTGTTACAGCCAGTATAGCTCGACTGGTTTATTACGATATTCAAGCCCGACCACCACGTCAAAGTAGGAACAACGGTCGGGCAAGTAGCGTATTAAAATAGTAACAAACTAATCAACGAAAAGAATTATCAATCGCGGTAAAATATAGATAGATGCTTGCTTGGTGAATTTCGGAAAGGGAAAACGTAAATTCAAAATCTGAAAACTATAAAGACATAGTCTTATTAGCATGAAATTGTCACCATAAACCTACCGATCATCATACACTGCTTGTCTTTCTTGATTCAAAGTTCGTGATGGTGTATAAGTCAACATACCAGAATGCTCAAGTTCATCGAAATAACGGCCACCTTTGCCTTGATAATGTCTAGGTACTACAATAACTATATCTTTATGGCCACGTTTTTTGAAGTAATCTAAGGCTAGACGAATTCCCTGAACACTGAATTCTTTTTGTTTTCCATGGCTACAAGATAAAAACAAAACAAAGCAAAAAGGAAAACATACGGATTCTAAGGAGTTAATAAGGAAATAAACATCTAGATATTTATTTATTTGGATCAAGACGTTTCCCTGTTTGAGATTCATGAATGGATTTATAATTATCAGTCAGTATACAGGTATATATTCATATTGCTTTGAAGTTTATAGGTAATACTGGCTGAACATTTTAAGAATAGAATTAATGGTGCTGGGTTTCAGTCAGAATGTCAGCATGAATTATTTTCACCTGAAAACAATGAAACGCTATTTAATCTCAACACAGAGCACACTATCAATAAACTGATATCGGTTTACAGTGTACACCCAACTTTAAATTAGACAAATTTCTACAAAAATACTTGTGTAAGATACGTTTTATGGTAAAGCAATAAAAGCTGAACGATTATTTGTATTCGTTGGAAGATAAGTGTCATATAGAGATATTTCGATACTGTAGTGGTAGCTGCAGGAAATCTCAATATTTAATAATCAGCTGGTATCAATTAAAAATTGAGTAAATATTAACAATTTATGATCACATGTTACAATTTAAAAAAAAACATTATAATGCCAGACAAGTTAAAAGCATATTAAAAAAAATTGAATTTAAAATTGTAAGTAAAATCAATTTATTATAATTTATTAAGCTTGAAATAAATTGTATTGTAATAGTAACTTAAGTCTTGATTGTACGTTAATTAACAATTCGATAAAACTAGTCGGGATACATATATAATTGAGTATATGAACCATTCTTCTGGTCAAGTTCATGGCTTACATATCCTAGTCTGGATTAATGAGGACACATACATAAATCCATGAGTTATGTAAGCATTCATTCATGTTTTACAACAAAGCTTCCTACATTTGGTTACTATTCCTAGTCTCACATAGAAGGTATTGTCAATGGCCACGAGACGTATATTGTAAATGAATTGACCAAGTGTATCATAATGAGTGGTGTTTTTTTCTAACACGAACTTCTGGGTATTATGAAAAATTAGGCCAAATTTTTCGAAACCCTATTCCAAGTTGCTGAGTTCTAATGTCACAACGAACCACCGTGTAAACATCCACACACTTCTGATTATGCTGTAAAAAAGTACCAGTAGTAAATAAGTCTATCGGTGTATATTTCCCTTTTTTGCTGTTGGAAGATAAGGCAGGGGATAATACGGAATAGCAAGTTTTCCGTAGTGTTGTGCATCATTCAAAATGATATTCCTTCGAAGTGTAGGTAAGTAAACGTTCATTTCTATTACTATTTTGCAGTATATTTGCCATAATCGATTTCGTCAAATCTATTCAGAACTTGATTTGGTTGTTTTAATCGCGGGAAGTCAGGAATAACTTCCTTGACGAACTGTAAAGAGTTCAGAAATGCGATTGAAAATCAGAAACAGAGAAACTCTAATTTTACAGACCAATGATCAGAATTGTTGATTTATTGTCAATCAACTACTGGTTGCTACTCGCATCAATAATAATAATAATATTAACAAACCCAGAGCAACTTACGCGAAACTCACATTACTACCGTCAATTATAATGGGTCTTAAGCGAGATTTTAACGATTTATCTGACTTTGTCTTAGAAGAATTTGTTAATAAAGACAATGGGTTCGATTCATTATCTAAAATATTGATAGAAATACATTGAATGAAAAGTTATTATTATTGCTATTCTTGAGGATTGTAAACTGGTAATAACTAATAATGAATACAATATGGACAATCAACTAGCTGTAAACGGCTATAAGAATTGGCCCTTTACTACGTAATGTCCGTGAAGAAGAAATAAACACAACCATCAATATAATTGAAAACGTAAAATCTAATATACTGATATGTGAATGTATTAAGATGCATGTACAAGTCATTGATTTAAACCATTATTTGAACAATTCCATTACTTACACAAAATGACGTCCCCTTTTTAAAAGAACTTTTGATGTTTTTCGAAACATTTTACTAGAGTATATATGATCTACATTCTGTCTGTAATAGGAACGTCAAAACATATTCACAAGACCATATTTTTCCGCTTCCTTGTTTAAAATAACTAAGATACAAGGCAAACTACTCTGTCGATCCAAGTAATTAATGTGTAATACGGATTGTGATGATACATATTTGTGTTATTAAGATAATGACAAAAAGGTGATCTTTACTGCGTAATGACCGATAACTGCTCATAAGAATCAATAATGGATTCAAACATTTCGAATGAACTGATATCAAGAGCAACGCAACTGCCCAGTAGTATAGGTTTTTAAGCAGTAAAGTGACTAACTCATGTACAAAATAATGAACACAATTATCAGAATGCTTAAGTTATTTAAAACAATCGACTGGATTTTGGGATAGTCAATCACTCACGCTGCAATAAAATTAAGACGTCTATTAGCCGACTTCATATCACATATATAATATAAAATCAGAGACGGAATGTCGAAATTAAGTTTTTAAAAAAACAGAAAACATATAGCTGTAGAATATTTGTGAGTTAGAAGTCGGAGCAGCGATAAGCTTGTCACCATGACTGAACTCGAATCATTAAGTATAACATCTGAAGTAACAAACGGCTTCTTAACTAGCAGACATTAAAAATACAAGTTGAAAGAGCATCAGTCTTTAATTAGTTTTTCGAAAGGTCCAAACAATTGGATAATTTGCGAATCAGTGGAACGTCTCCATTTAATCATATTAAAGTACAATTTGTCTCATTTCGCTTCAAATATGATGACGTATCGAAGATCATCTAAGTGCAATACATGATACAGTCACCTACGTCCGTGAGAATTTGAAAATCTGCTTTACTTAAAAACGTTTGTTCAGTGATTTCATCACACAGGAGTAATAGTTAAAAGATATAAACGACCAGTTATTCGTAATACACTTATGGGGGCAATTTGTGATCACCGTATAACAATTCTGAAACCTAGCGCCTACTGAGTATATAAATATATCATAGCAACCATAAATAATAAAAATGGGTAAATATTGTTACCCATTTGTAAATACATTCGGATTTTAACGGAGATGATCTGTTGTCCTCGAGTTGATTTCTCGTAGTGTAAGTGTTGCTTACGAAATCGAGAGGTTGAAAAGTGAATGTCCGACGCTTTATTCAGGTTAGTGAGTACGGAGAGTCCACCTAGAGGAGTTGGAAAACCTTGATTTCAAACCAATGGTGTACATGGGCTCCAGGATCCTGAGAGAACAAATGGCGTATGAAACTATTGTTGGTCACCGTCCACCATAGGATTGCATCTCCTAACGTTACTCCATTGCCTTATGGATTAGACCTCTAGATCAAAGGCTTGTGGTGTGAATCCCTAAGAAAACCACCTGTTTTTCTTTGGACATCCAGAAAGCATCACAGCCCTCACACAAATCAATGATAATTACTACTGGGAAACTTTCTGTTGCTTCAACACTCGCCCAGATAACTTTATTCACAACCATATGATAACGATTATTTTTATTTCTTTAATACTGCTGTGGTGTGTGCTACTTATATTGGCAAAAATAGTATATGATATTAGTCGTGGAAAGAAGGTCTGGCAGCAGAGAAACAAGAGGATCGAGCAGTAAAGAATGGAAACAGGATGCAATTTCTATGAAAATACAAGAACAATGAAGTTTGAGTCATTTTGAGACAACTGGTAGACATTTCGCAAATTAAGCATTTACTTTATGATTGTTAGATTTTACTAACCTGTAATTATGTGTTAAATGCATCCGAATGTCCCTACACGTGTTCTGTTCACTGCAGTACGTCACTTATTTACTCCACTTTATTCTTATTTTACGTATTGTACTTTTCAAATTATACAGCAGCTCCTCTATGGCGGAAACCATATCCTATCTAAACGATCTCAAGTGACTAACTGACCGAAAGTTGAATGCTACCACTGACTACAAATACTGAAACAGTTTTTTGAAACCACGTATACCACTCAAACTGATTTCCTTCAACGTCCGCACACTAATGCAGATAAGACAACAGATAGGGTTGTTTATGTCTTTAGAAAGTCTCAACATTGATGTCTATTGTTTATCCAAGAGTCTAGTGAAGTACTACAAATTCGCTCGCCGTATGTCACTTCGAAAACATTGTTTCACGTGGGGCGGCCGAACCGGCATGTGGAATCGGTTCGTGAAGTCACTAACTGCCTAACTGAACCGTCCTGATAGGTTCAGGCTATCTAGTTGATGTCCATGTGGTATTAGCAATCGGTGGAGACATTGGGTGGTATGGCTCAGAATCAGTCGCAACAGGGCAGATGTATTCACTCCTTATCTTTCCTTAGATCTTGAATTTCTTTAATTTATCTCATATTGGTTTATTACACTAATCCATGTATTCTGACCTACTAAGATATTATACGTCTAATTGTTTTTACTACTTCTAATAAGGTTAATACTTATACTGCTCTGATATCTTGTCATTGTGTTGTACTTCAGTAAATTGGATTGATGTATATATGTGCCAGGGTCCACGTTCCATCTGACTGACTGGCTCAACTCACATAATTAATTTAGTGAACGTTTTCTAAATAATTTTAATTCATATCAATATTTCAAATCAACAATGACTTTCATCACAGCATGACTCCGTCGAATGTGAGTAGTATATTGACATTTCATCCTTCAAGTACACAACAACATGGTTCTTATTTATGATCTAAATGATTATTACAAAACTATAGCAGTTTTAGGTGAGAGTTTTTCCCACCTCAGCAAGCAAATTAAAAAACAACCTTACCCAGTGTTTTCACATAGAATTTGCCTTGTGAACACTGTTCACTATCTGAATGAAATTATCCTCACTACCAGTGGACATGGAAAATGATTCGTAAACTACAGGTATATTGATTAGTGTATAATTCCAAATGGTAGAAATGTGATGAGTACAACCCTTTGATTTCCGAATGGTTTGCAAACACAAGATTACTGTTAATCTACACAGTGTATAACTAACGTGAAAATATGTAAAATTCCTTGTATAATCTACTCGAGCAAAATATCTAAATGACGGTGTGAAATATATCATGTATGAACATCGATATATATATATATATATATATATATATATATATATATATATTAAAAGCAAGGGAAAGAATAATAACGCTCACCTAGATTAATTGATTCTGAGTTACTTGCTTCACACTTACGATAAGCCTCTACAAAATGTACATTTCCAACTGCTGAATCAACTAGGAGACTACCAGAAGTTACAGTAGCATCAGGTTTTTCTAAAGAAATGAAATAATTTATGAGAGCTAGCTTCATTGCGTCAGTGCACTGTAAACCATTATAGTTCACGGAATACTTCTCACATAATGTCTTCAAAATTGAGACTTTTAAATCGCTTAAATGAGCACATTTGACTTCTAAAAATGACTCTAATAAATGTAGAATTCGTGAAAAATGTCTGATTCCAAGTGCACATCCTTTAATAATCAATACATTAGATTTTTTAATAATTATGACAATATTGTACGTCAGTTCAAAATGATAAATTATTGTTGGATTACTGAATAATTCCAAACAATCCATTGAAGTAATCGTACTAATTGAAACCGATTCTGGACTAATAAAACGCAGTGCGTAATCCTGTACAAGAAGTATTTATTTTCATGTAAACTCAACAACACATACTTGAGCTGCATTCAGGTTATCTGCAGTTCCGCATATTTTAAGTTTATCTTGAGATAATGCTGCAGATACGCCATAACAATTTTCAAGCCGACAAAGTAATACATCCAGATTTTCGGTCGGATATGGAATGGTAACATAAACTGACATATTTCACCCTTGCTAAAATATACTACATACTACAAAAGAGTTTAAAAAAGATAGAAAAGATAAAATCTATGGTAAGTTGCTCCTTTTCAGTAGTTTACACACAAACTCTATAATATCAGAGAACTGGAGTAACGAGTAGATTTACAGTATCTGGTAAAAACTTACTGCATGACAAAAATATTTGTCAAACAAAGATGCTATAACAGTATCAGTGCAGAGGGGTGAAATTAAAAGAACGAATGCTGAAAAGTTCTAAGTGGCGATAGTATTAGTGACAACGACAAATGACAAGTGATGGATAAAATAGTTCGAAAAGGTCTGTATGACTCCGTTCGGGAAAATTTACATACGGTTAACGAGTCCCATGTAAGAAAAAATGTGCGTTGAGTCTCTTAGTTAGGCATAATTCAAATACATTACTAACTCATAGTAAGGTTATGTCAAGACATTCGCTCAAAGTGCACATAAGCGACCAGTAATTAAAGTTTGATCTTGAATATCAAAAGCGCAAAAACAAAGATTTGCACATACACCACATATTGTTAGAATCGCTAACCTAATAATAAGCAAAAGCGCTTGTTTTAAACTATATATTCGATTGTGTTGACACATGGGTTCTATAAAAATTTTGACCTTTGAGGGAAATGAACCATAAACTTCCTTTGTTCAGTAAATTATTTTGTATTGTTAGAATTTTTTTAACGACATTTGAGGAATGTATTCATCAAAAATGAATTTTTTCCATTGACGAAAGCTTTCTGACATCTTGCTTTCAACACTTTATTTGAAGATGAATCTCCAAGACATGAGTTCAGTGTTTTAACTGAAGGTTATGTAATCATGCAGAGAGGAATAAACTAAATTTGCAACTACTTTACATACTGTGTGTATTGCCTCGATATAGCCTTTGCATTATATGCAAAGATGGATAGTGGCTAGAAAGAGATTGAATCCATAACGCCTGTTCCACTACTAACCACTATCCATCTTTGCATATAATGCTTGCGAATTAAGGCTATATCGAGGAAACACGCACACATGCCAATAAGAGACTGATCAATTGCAGTCCTAAACGTCAATGGGAAGATTCAAACAAACAATACCAAGTGAATTTAAACTTCACCCCATTGCACAAGCAAGTGGCTATTAGGACTCAGTAGCTAAGTGGATAACGCGATGACGTTTGAAGCGAACGGTACTGAGTTCCAGTCCCAGAGTGGACATCAATTCTGTGATGAAGGTTCATTCAGCTGACGAGCCCCAAATTGGATAACATGCGTGTCCTGGATTCCACTACTAGCCACTATCCATCTTTGCATATAATACTTTACATAGTTATATAATTACGAATATGTCCGTCATTCACTAATTCACGTTATATATAATCAATTATTCAACATAAGCATTGGTACAAGGGAAAACCAAACATATATGTGCCACATAAGTCACTTGATTTGTGTGAGGGCTGTGATACTGTCTGGATGTCCAAAGAAAAACAGGTGGTTTTCTTAGGGATTCACACCACAAGCCTTTGATCTAGAGGTCTAATCCATAAGGCAATGGAGTAACGTTAGGAGATGCAATCCTATGGTGGACGGTGACCAACAATAGTTTCATACGCCATTTGTTCTCTCAGGATCCTGGAGCCCATGTACACCATTGGTTTGAAATCAAGGTTTTCCAACTCCTCTAGGTGGACTCTCCGTACTCACTAACCTGAATAAAGCGTCGGACATTCACTTTTCAACCTCTCGATTTCGTAAGCAACACTCCCATAGCGAGAAGGCAATCGGTAGAACTTCCCTGACAGTGGCTGTATACGCGTGGCTACGTGGGAGCATTTTGAGAGGAAGAGAAAACTCCAAGCACCCTCGGCCTAACCAGAGCATTTAGAGGTACTAATATATTCAAACCGAGTACGACTAAACCGCGGGAAAAGTTATGCACTAGTAAGGTTCATTCAATCTTATGACAGTCAAGGATGGTCCTTAATTGTGGGAAATAAAAAAGGTAATGAAGCTTCTTCACGTAAAAATAATACATTTTTGTTTATTTGTTTGAGTCTTGTAAGGTTTTTAAATTAGGTACAGTAAAAAACTTAAACTAAGTTGATTACTCCAGTTAGTATAGTCATAAATCTTTTATATTGAGTTTAATCCAACCATATTTTATCTTCATTCCTAAATATATTATCAATTACATTTTAATTCCATGTCAACCTACTCTTATTTTATATTATTATTAACAAAATTTGTTTTTATTTTCCTTAATGTGCAAACAAAAAGTAAAACTGTAAGACGATAAGACTACTAAACTTGGAAGACACGTTGTGTATTTGAAGTAAGAGGAATGATAAATTTATGGTGAAAAAAGTAGTCATTGGCTTTGAAATTCCCTAAATGTGAAATAGCCTCCATTCAGGCAGTGCCAATTATTAACTTTGAGCAGTAAGTGTCACAACGAAATCAAGCGACAAAATTTCTAGCTCTTCAAATGGACATTCGAATTAGAAACCTACGAAACTTGGAGACAACAAATCGGAAACATAACCTTTAGCATCAGCAACACACCCCTCGTATATTAAAAGTTAGTTTAGTGAGATAGTAGTTACTCTCTCTGAAGAGATATAAATTTCATAGGAAAAGACCTGACTGTTTGGTCATAAGCAGCAACAAACAGAGGTTCACTCCTTATCCGTTACCAACAAACATCAAAAGGGTTTGGGCTTGAAAATAGAATTTGAAAGCGAAAGGAGGCAGTAATCTTAATTGAATCAGGGCTTCCTGAGATATCAGATCTTCCTTGAAGTCATCATACTCCACATATTTAAATCAATCAGGAACAACCGTGTTTGCGGAATACAACAGACCCGTTATATCCCGTTGCATTCTCTTCAGTTACATACAAGCTCAATGAGATGACGTCAGATACATATTTACTAATCACTAAGTCTATCGATATCTTCTCTAAACAGAGCAAAATAACCTATGAGATTTGAGCTCATCGTGACCGACTCTGTGTAAATTGCGCGAAATAAACTGTATTTTTCTAATTTTGAGTTTAAGAGCGAGTGAAAAACCAATAAGTTGTAATTCAACCCAAGGTAAAACTACGCGCTTCCGAAATTCATTTTTTTAAATATTTTAGCTAATAAAATTTTCCACCTGAGTAGTTAGCGATACCGCTACCTAATACATCTCTTTGATATATAACCTCGAATATATATTTTGATGTACTGGTCGACATTTAAGTAACGGTGGTCAGAAAGAGGACCCTCATGAACCATCACAAGGGCCACTGATGACTCTAAGCTTGACTAGACAGTTGGTAGCTACATACGCCATTTAGATAAAGACCACAATTATGATCGATGAAAGCCATGTCACAGTATTCTTTTTCATAGACAGAAGCATGTAGGTAGCTAATTCGATTTTTTTTAATAAACTATATACTTGAATATGTTTTTATTACTAAGAGGTTTTTAACTATTTTTCACACGATACCACGCATAGGTTTGGTCTAGTGAACGGATTTTAAGTTCATCGGTGTCTGAGTCCCTAACGAAACCGCATCCTCTAATAGTTTGTGTATTAAATGACTTCTAATCATGTTTGTTTCCATTTTAAGAATCTCATACGTAGGTATGTTATTGTAATAAAAAACCACAAGACAGCTATGGTTAATTTTGACATTCACTAATTTGAGGGACTGAACTAACTGCCGAATATCGTTAGTGCTTATTGATCTTTACGTCCTAAAATTACAAATCATTTTTTAAAAAATGTTTTATTCAGTATTTCATCTAAAACTTGCCCATAATCAAACTTAGATGTTAACCACACTAGCACAGTAAATTTGTTTTGTACACTTTGATAGTTTTCTTAACACCAACAAGAGCAGCTCTATAGTTAACCCTGATTTCGAACCCGGATAACGAGGAAACTTTGTCGTGCAGTTAGCGACCACACTTCGTACCAAAAGAACTCCTCTAGAAAAGCGTCAATAACAAAAGTCATTTTAACTACTTAGACTCTGATCTGGGAGTTCAAGGGTATACATGTAGAAGAGTTATGAAGCTTCATGGTAAAACACAAGACTCTTCACAAGTCACGGGACCGATACCACTTCTGGCAACCAGAACAACTATTAATACATCGACATGGAATGTCCGCACAACGTGGGAGGGATAAAGAGGATCATCCAAGCAACAACAGAAAGGAGAAGACACAGCATGACCGTGCCTGGAATAAGTGAAACCCATTGGACACAATCTACACAGAAAAGACTAACTTCAGGAGAGCTGTTGTAGTATTCTGGTCATGAAGAAAGTACCCCTCTACACGCACAAGGAGTTGTACTGATCCTGTCCAAAGAAGCACGAAAGTCGCTGATAGGATGGGAAAGTCACGACTCCAGAATAATTAAAGCATCCTTCAAATCGAGGAAGGAAAGGATTACGATGAATATTATCCAATGTTACGCACCCACCAACAATGGCAGCGAGGAGGATGAAGACCAGTTTTGTGATAGGTTGCAGTCCGTCGCACAGAACAGCTCATGAAAATACCTGACCATCCTGATGGAGCGACATGGATTATGAGAAGGAAACGGAGATTATGAGAGGTTAGCTTCCAACCGCACCGTCATAAATAGGAGCACTTTCTTCAACAAATCCCCATCGGATTCATTACAGAGAGCCAGACTGATCACATCTGGGGGAGTAAAGCATTCAGAAAGTCCATCCAGTACGTGAGAACAGACGGAGGATATAACTTTCCATAACTATCTAGTAGTGGCCAAGATAGAGCTGAAGCTGAACAGGCATTAAAAACTTGGACACCACAACAACAAAAGTTTAATATAACCTTCCTTTGAGACTCTAACTAGCTCACCGAATTCACGATAGCTCTCAGAAACAGCTACCCAGTCTTACAAAATCTAGTAGAGAAAGAGGAAACCACTATGGAGAGAAACTGAAATAAAGCTGAAGAAGTAATAACTTCATCTTCCTAGGTGTTGGGGCCCAAGAAACACCAGCATAAAAGTGGATCTTTCTAAACACCGTAAAGAAAACTCCTCAAGAACGTAAAACAAGGAGGCAACAATCAACAACGGACGAACAAACCAAGAGAACGCCAACGAAAAGGCCGAATATACAGAAGCAGAGAGACAAGTGAAGCCGGAAATTAGCGATGGCAAGGGGAAATATGCAGAAGACCAACCAACTACACCAAAAAAGGCTGTAAGAAAAGCATACATGGGAGAAATGTGTGACAGAACTAAGAAGCATGTGGGGAAGTACTTACTTACTTACGCCTGTTACTCTCAATAGAGCATAGGCCACCGACCAGTATTCTCCAACCCACTCTGTCCTGGGCCTTCTTTTCTAGTTCCATCCAATTCTTGTTCATTCTTTTTATGTCTATCTCCATTTCCCGGCGTAAAATGTCCTCTTGTTTTCCTCTTCTTCTTTTGCCTTGAGGATTTCATGTGAGGGCTTGACTTGTGACGCAGTTGGGTGCTTTCCTCAATATGTGTCCCATCCAATTCCAGCGCTTCTTCCTGATTTCTTCCTCTGCTGAGATCTGGTTTGTTCTCTCCCATAGTAGGTTGTTGTTAATAGTATCCGGTCAACGAATCCGAAGTATTTTGCGAAGACAACTGTTAATAAACACCTGTATTTTCTGGATGATTGCTTTCGTAGTTCTCCAGGTTTCCGCCCCATACAGTAAAACTGTCTTTACATTTGTATTGAAAATCCTGACCTTGGTGTTGGTTGACAGTTGCTTTGAGTTCCAGACGTTTCTCAGTTGTCAATATGCTGCTCTTGCTTTTCCGATCCGCGCCTTCACATCTGCATCAAATCCACAGTGTTCATCAATGATACCGCCCAGATATGTAAAGGTTTTTACATCTTCCAAATCTTCTCCGTCAATTGTGATTGGATTGGTGCATGCTGTGTTGTATCGGAGAATCTTGCTTTTCCCTTTGTATATATTGAGACCTACTGCTGCTGAGGCTGCTGCTACACTTGTCGTCTTCTCCTGCATTTGCTGTTGCGTTTGCGATAGAAGAGCCAGATAATCTACGAAGTCTAGATCGTCCAACTGCATCCTAGATGTCCACTGTATCCCGTGCTTCCCTTCAGATGTTGACATCATGATCTAATCGATCACTAGGAGAAAGAGAAAGGGTGAGAGTAAACAACCTTGCCTGATACTGGACTTTACTACGGACGAGTCTGTAGTTTAACCCATCATAGGAATTCCGTATAATGTTAATTATCTCAGGCACGCCGTATTATCGAAGAAGTTCTCCATGGTGTCCTGTCCACGCTATCATATGCCTCCTCGTAGTGAATGAATTTGATGTAGAGTGATGAAATCTATTCAACTGATTGTTCCACAATGATCCGTAGTGTTGCCATCTGGTCTGTACACGATCGATCATTACGGAATAAAGCCTGATGGTTTCGAAGTTGGGTGTCTACGGATTCCTCCATTCTGTTTAACAACACTCTGTTGAAGACTTTCTCTGGTATTGATAGGAGTATCAGCCTTGTGACTTCCGAAGAAACTTGGCTTTCATCATGAGGCGTCATAACTCTACTAAATGAGGACATTTTAACTCCCAGGACAGAGTTCAAGAGATTTAAATTATTTTTTTGGCTAGCGTTTTCAGCGAGTTAGTTTTTTACGGTAAGGGGTCGCTAACACCATATCCAAGCCTTCTCCTTTATCCGGATTTGGGATCGGCAGTAGCCCCAGAGGGGCTCCAGGTGAGGTATAGTGCACCACAAAGAGCGGTCAGGGACAAACAAGGGAAACTAAGCACTGGAACAAGTGAGTAGAGCACTTTGATGAACCGGCACCACTACGCCCACCAGAGTTCAAGGCAGATAATTTTCTATATATAACAACTGATAAATAACAGTAGAGAGGTAATCGAGTTAAGTACGTGAGTTAATAGCATCTTGGGGGTATTATTACAATAGTTCAACACATGCTGAAAATAAATAGACAAGTAGTAACACATTGCAAAATACTGAATAAATACATACACATACATACCTCAAGAAGTTGAGACAAAACGCTCGCTAATACGTCACCTGGTTGATCAATCAACGATCCTAGAGTATCGTCCACTGATGGGGGTTGCGAGCACCTGAAGGTCAAGCTGTCGCAAAATGATTGGTGCGTCACATCGACAATTCATGAAAATTTTCAGAAGCGGTCAAATCAAGACATTTTTAGGACGAATCTTCAATGATATTGTGTTATCTCGAAGATTTACAAGTTGGAACAATTTTGAGACCTGTTTGAAAGAAGTACATATGGTAATATGACCTCTGTGGTTAATAATTATTTTTTTAGTATACGCATACTAAGTACGTTACGTCAGTATGCAAAAATGGCTGCAATTAAACGCAACTCAATTTCGTAAATGTGCTTTTCAGCTTAGCAACCAATCAGAATGTGGCGGAAATTATTATATCAGCTATCTTTGTACGTAATGGCGGCCGGCTCTCTTCGTTCTGTGCTTCTTTTAGCTATTTCTTTTGTGTAGCTATGTAATTAATGTTTCAATGTGCTAAGATGCCGCAGTCAGTGTAATGTTATGCATGTTGATGTAAAATTTACTTCGAATCAGCATTGTTTTTTGGGTTTTTGCTGCTTCTACTCTAGTCAATGTATTTCTTCAGTCAAGCTGTTTAGTCTTGTGTTTTAAAATGGAAACTGGTTTTGCTTTGACTTGTTTTCAAGAAGTTCGTTTTTTCTCAGCTGAAATAACTGTTGCTGCCTCCTGTGACTAACTGTCCGCATGTTCATTCCTAACTGTCCTTTATGATGTTATCGGCAAAATGAAAGGAAACAATTTCCGGTTTTTAATTTTCTTCAGTATTGCGGACAACAATATCCCACCAACGAGTCAAACTAATAGTTAGTGCCTAGCCGTGGGGGATGTCAGTATTGTTTTCGAAAGTACCCAGGCATCCGACAACCATAGACGAAGTCACATATGCTACCAATCTATTGCAGAGGGTTTGTTATGAAAAAATATGCCACATAGCAGTAATGGAGGGGTTGTACGCATTACGTAGTGCGTTAAAGCAAGCTTAACATTGAAAAGCCGGAAATCTGCTATCAGTGTGTAGTGTATGTTTGCTGTTTCGGCCATAAAATGAAGCCGAAGGGTCATGATCAGAGAGTAAAAAGGTAATTAACTGTTATTAAGCTAACTGTTTTATAGGTCATATTTCACCACTCTCAAATCTGTTTTTTACGGTATGACGTCAGCCGGTACCTTATATGTTCACCCTTACGATGGGACAACTGTCTTCCTGTTTGAATGCTTCGTACGCCCTGGGAGACTAGATTCCTACATTATTCACAGTTCCAGTATAACTTTCTCACGCAGTAAGTTGAAAGTAAACACTAGTCTTTCTGAATAAGCATGTTAAGCTAATATCCGTATTCTCTATTTCATTTGATCGATGAAGACATGTACCACGTGCATCTGCTGTATATTGCTATTTTACTCCAATTCTAACTTATATCTTCTGAAAAATAAAATTGCTATATGCAGCAAATACAGACTTATTGTTTTGATGGTGGTAGGGGGGTTCATGGGTTTTTTAGCAGGACTGTAGTAATATTCTCACTAAAGAGCTAAGTGAGTGCGTAGACTAATGTAAAGTACCATACAGGGTGCCTTTGAATTACTCGTGTTCCATTAGTGCCGGTAGAAGCATTACTTGCTTATCATATGACATTTGAATAAGAAGCTATGAGATTAGACGCAGGGGCGGTTAGGATGTGTAACGCGTGTCCATCCATCAGTTTTCGTGGCAACTCATGGTGGCTAGAATAAATTGTGGGAGGACCCGAGCCTGTAGGTTTTCCAAGAAAATGACGGAGATATGCACCAAATCACCTTATGAAGAGCGCCTCCGATCACTTAACCTCTACTCATTAAAGTATAGACGTCTTAGAGGTGACCTATTTACTTACAGGATCTTTAACACTTCTGGACATTCTCTTAAACACCTACTTGAGCTTAGTCCCAGAAACTAGAGACACGACATGGCAGAATGGACTGTAGACGCAACTTCTACTCCTTAAGAGTTGTCGAATGCTGGAATTCGCTACCCACCGAACTAGTCCAAGCGACTTCCCAGGAGTCCTTTGGGAGGCGATTGGATCTTTTATTGTTAACATACCTAGGTTCCTGCTTGGAGGTTTTGGTGATCCCCTGCTACTAGACACGGAAGCCTGAACACATGAGTTAGGTGATGAGAGGCTCGATTATCACAAGTTTCTTGCAACGATTAAGTAGATAAAACAAAGTAGCATTAGGTTCAAAAATTTATTCGTGAACTTTCATTAAGAATCGAATATGAAAAAAAGGTTTAAACCAAGTTCCAGTCTAAAAGTTGCATTGGTAATGTTAAGCTGCAGTTTTTGTTGTTTTTTCCAAACGAAAGGGTAAAAGAAGTAACTCAAAAAGTACTGTAAGTGGTTGTGAGACTAAAATAGACGTCCAGCATCCTTTTTATAATCTGCTGTTAGTTGGGTCTTCCGTAAACAGTTCCATAGGGCCATAGTTCTAGGGGCGAAACAGTTTTTAGGATCTTTGAAGACTCACTCCTGTTGCATTCTAAATGAGAAAATAATAATGAATTTAGTCAGAAATGTGAAATAGATAAATAACCAAATTACATGTTTTTTAGCAAAGAATTTATGCAGTTGTGATTTACCTTTAGTTCATGGATATTGGGTCAGGTCAGCTATTACTTGTGCAAAGCATAACATGAACTTAATACCGTATCTCAATGCTTTTATTATTTTGCTCTCATTTAAGTATTACCATGTATCTGCATCTAGTTTAACAGGGAGACATACAAGCAGAGTTAGTGTTTGATGAACTAAAAGTCCTAGTTGTCAAAAAGATTCTTAACATTTGTCTACAGCCAACTGCATTTTATTGAGATACAGAACACTCATATTCTAAGACTGTATACTGCTCTTCTGCGGGCAAATAAAAGCTCACACACTTAGCTATCCTGCCACCGATGTTATTGCTGGGGAAATTGTTTAATGACAGTGATCATGAAATATGGTCAGTGATAGATGTACAATCTAGAAATAAACACCAAACATACTTATCGCTATCTTATAATGTATGACAGCAACAGTACCAAAAGCACTTTTTTCCTATTTTTAATCAGACTGATTTGAATCAGTATACTCATCAAAAACAGGCAACTCTACTTACTAGACTGATCTGTTTCGTTACAGGCTTCAAGCACTATACTTAAGTATACCATAATTCTTTCAACTTAACTGAATTATACGACAACCAAGAATACTAAACTAAGCAAGTGTCATAGTTATTGTTTCATTTGCACAGGCATATTGTTTAAAGTAGTTAAATGGACATAATTAAGACGATAAAACAAAAACACGAAATATAGGCCAATTGAACTTACCTAACAGAAGTCAAAGAATATATATATATTGCTTTCCGATACATTAAGTTTACATGGTTGCGTTGCGGATAAGATCACCCTGCAAAAAGACTAGTGACGATCCAACTCTAAAGTACTTTTTCGTGAGATATGCCTGTACATATGGACGTAAATGCAGTTCGTCAGATGCTCGCGTTCAGGATGTAGATGATGATAGTAATAATCATTCGTCTGAAGAGCATACAACTTCTAACTCGACAACACAACCTAGGCAAAGGAGACGACGTCGGCCATCTACGTATGCCTTACTTCAAATGAATTTTACCTTCAGGTCGAAATATTGCTATTGTCAATCTGGATTTTGGGTCCGGGCAGTAAATGGTGAGCTGAAAGTCACCTCTGTTAAAACAATGCGCAACCGTCCTTGCACAAAAAGATATATTTCTGTCGATCCATCGAAACGACAGTTGACTTCAAGTGAACGCTTATATTTAAGAACGTTTCTACTGAGTAATACACCAACTCGTAGTTTACGGTATCTGGTTTCTTCGAAGTTCAATAAACAGCTTACCAAGGGTATGATGTATGTTGTTGATACTTCACGTGCACGATGTGCTTGTGAGCGTTTCAATGACTACATGCTGCCCTGTGGTCATATTTTGTATGCACATTCTAAAGATCTGATTCGTGGAGGTATGTGTGTTCCTTTATCTCTATAAGTTTTGTAGACTTATTTCGACATAGCAACCGGTGGACAAGAAAAGACATAATGGACCTGGTCCTTCGTGAGCTGGACAACATCTCGATCTCTACAGGGAGTAATGATCTGCCAGAGAAGTCCACTAGCAACTACCACTCAATCCATGCTTTTAGTGAACCTTTGGCAAGTAAACTCATCTGTTCATGCCTCGAAGCATCGGAAGACATGCGCAAAAGTGATGAGTTCAATCGGTGCTAATGATGAAGCTACAACGTCAGAATCCATTGCTAATACAGACCATAGCTATGCTTCTTGATAACAAGAAGTTCTAATATTGTAATCTTTTTACTTTTACATAAATTCATTTATATGGCCATTGACTTATTCTTATAGCGTAACGGCAGGGAGTATACTGTGCAGTCTTATGTGGCTGTGAGACAGGGATGTTGTTTCGCGTTCTTGTGTAATAATTACCAGTTTGGCGCACACGCGATTAGTCATACATACCGTTTACCAAATACTGCTGCCTTAAACATGGTGTAGTTCGAATTTCGACCTGTCACGGTAGATAAGAATTGCCGTAATTAAAAGACTGGTGCGTTATAAATGAAAACGTTTATTAAAGTTTGAATCTAGCACAAATGATCCATCAATAAATAACTTCTATTCTTCAGGATTTGTTCCCGTTAGGTTTGTGAACGCTTGCGAAGCTAGCTGGAAATAACATAGACAGGAAAGTTATTTCAGTATAAATGTTTATCAGAAACTAGTATAAAAACGGAAACCAGTATTCAATTACTGATCGAAAGTGCATTTAGCACACCCTTCCTTTGGATAGTCAATCACGCTTATTTCCTTTATCTCTTGCGTTGCTTAGGAAAGTCTGGGTCACAACATACACGGATTGTATTATTTAATTCTTTGGAAAGGTTGCACTTTGGAAACTTAGACGATGAACATATATAAAGACTACTGTGTGAATTTACTTTGAATCATCCTGTGTAACCTGCAATTCTTGATGCATATTCTATTGTAGTCCCACGTAAGTTATGAGTAATTGTCATTTACGGCATCAGCACGTAAGCTAGACAGGCCTTGGTTGATTTCCGAAGATCATCACATAGGGTCTCACACAATCTGGTCACCTTAGATCAAGATATCTTGACTATCGAATTGTACTTTTCAGTGTTTCTCGTGACAGCTTTATATCAGTACTTATTTCTGCTATTAGGTATTTTTGCAATAATACCGGCAGCCAAAACATTGTAGCTCCCCAGACAACCCAAAAAGCGGAAATAAAGGGGTAAATACTTTGGTAGCGAAAAGGGAAAACGCATCGGAATGTCGCCTTTTTCGCCTGTCCGGGGGAAATAATGTGGATTTCCCCTTTTTCGCAGTTTTGTCGATAAATTACTCACTTTTTGCCTAAATGTCCGCAGAATCGTCTACTTTTTGCCTAAATACACACAGAACCCCCTATTTTCCATCCATTGACATAACCCTAAAGGTCACCTATGTTCGCCTTTATTTTCAACAAATCAAAATAAATCTGCAATGCAGTGGAAAACCGGCATATTTTTGAAAATTTTTACTGAAAAGGTAATTAAACCAGATACTTGTGTAGATCTACACAAGAGGTAGTAATGCTATCTTAGCTTGGTATTTGGTAAAATCTCCACATAATTATATCTCTACCGCATGATTATGATTTATTTCCTGCAATACAATCATCTGGTGGCGAATATATATAACTGTAGGAGGTGATATATATCACCTCCTACAGTTAGATGTATGTTAATATTAACATCTTGGTATGCGTTATTATCATCTAAAGCATATACATAATATTTACAACACTCAGGACACCTTATGTTTTCACTATAAATCTATTTCCTCTATAAAAGTCGAACAAAACAGTGAAAATCAGCCGAAATTGTGATAAAGATGGGAAAAACGATAAATCTTACCATGGTATCGTTATTTGTAACGCAGTTTTGGTAGCCTTGACAACAATACAATTTTTATGACGACATATGCCTGAATCATGCTATTTCATATAAAAATAAACGATTTGTCTACCATCAGTGTATACCTAAGTAGAAATAATTGCTAATCTGCGATGCAAACACGAAAAAACTATTATAACAGCACCTGAATAATGAATTTTCAAGGACTTCACGATACCATGTAACGCAAAATGGAAAAACCCTTTTCACCTAACTATGAAAACGGAAAATAGACTTTCGAATTTATTCATAATAAATTTCAAAATTTGGTTGTGCATAAAGCAGAAATGAAAAAGTTGCGCAAAGAGTGTCGCGATACCCCTGGAGTGCTGCCATCAAGTGTTAACACATATGTTTCGAAGTATTTCCATACAAATTCCAATGTCCAAATCACGAGCTAGTGTAAATCATCTAACCTCTCTGTACATACACATAAATTACTTAAATGTATCTATTCAACAGATGATTACTTATTTATTAGGGAGAGGTCAGTCCATGGAATTATCAGCACATAATGTCGTGTTCTAATGAAGTGTTGAAAGCATAGTTAAGACCAAACATTTAGTGGAGAAGAATGAGGTATTCAAACGGCAGTCAACCGTCGATATTTATTTGTACCTCGATAAGAAAACTAGAGCCTCAATTAAGTGTATTGCACTCATTGACGGAAAAGATATAAACTAAACCTAACTTGTAAGTTAAAATCGTTCGCGAATTCTATTCGCCAAATGATGTTTCCTAACTATCCTTAAGGCTTCGATATTTGCTTCAAAGTATTAAATGGCTAATATAAGTATTCCTCATTTTTCAGTTCTACGAAACATCAATAATCTGATTACTGATCTCAAAAACAAATTTGTTGATTTTGCTCTGCGTACGTATTTGTGTCGATGGAATCCGCAGATCTGCTCACTTTCTTGGCAGTTAACTGTCAGGGTAGCCTAAAATTCAAGAAGAAATCAGCATTTAGGATCAATCTGGAGTGCGTCTACGTCATGAGTTGCATAAAATGACACGTTGGATACGCTTCCGTTCCTCAAACTAGTTGACGAACTCTAAATCAACCTCAGTCCCTCCGTTCTTATCTATGTAATCATGACTACAAAGAAACCTAGTACTACTAAAAGAATAGCTTGACACACAATCACTAAACTTGCCGGATGATCTGTTTTGAGACACAGTGAAGCTACCGACATGCTACATTTTCCACCGTCACCAGCCTTCTAGAACACAATATAACTCGTGACTCAAATATCCGTATTCGACCAGATTGGCCACTTGAGGATCGAATCAAGTGGAAGAATGCATTTACGGAGTTGAGGACTCGCAAATTAAATGGCGAAAATAACCTTACCATTAAAGGTTTTCGGGTAGTCAGGCCTTGGAAGCCAGTGCTTCTGAGGCATGTATGGGTAGAACGATTGATTGCCAAAACACCTTAAGTGTGTGCTATACGAACGCTTGCAGTCTTAGAAATAAAACTTTCGAGATAAGTCTGTTGGTGGAAGAATTATGTCCCGATATAATCGTTGATACAGAAACTTGATTCACCGTAGATATAGACTGTTCTCCCATCATTGCAGGCTATATCTGTATTAGAAGTGATGGAGTTTCAAGTCTCAAAGGGGGAGGTATAATATTATACGTTAGGGGTCACTTTCGTATACAATCAGCCATATCGGAGGCTCATGTCAGTGGTACATGTGAGGTAGCATGTTGTAAGATTAAATCTAGAAATGGGTTAGTGACATAGGGAGGGTATATCGTAGTTCGTGTTGTCTTGCTTAAGACTTTATCTTAGGACACATCTGTTCTTGGAGTATGGCAGAACGTTGTCTAATTATTGGGGACTTCAACGCACCGCATATCAACTGGATAAAGCTTACAGCTACAGGTAGTGGTTTCGATAGCGACCTTTTATCTACCATTATTCAGTATGCACTTTTATAATGCATCACAAAACCGACACATATTGATTTCAATCATGATCCGTCACTGCTGGACCTCGCCCTCACCCACCACTATGAGGATGTCTTTGATATTCAGCACTTTTCTCCACTAGTTAACAGTGATCACGTTGTAATTCACTTTAAGTTTAGGACACATGGTATACAATTCGTATCTGCTCCACCCCGTCCCAATATCTGGCGAGCCAATATTCCAGCGATCAGAAACTTTGCTATCTCGATTGATTGATCGGTCGACGCGGATGGATTGGTCGAAGATGAATGGAATAAGTTTAAGGCTACATTCGAGTCCGTAACGTCGCCGTTTATCCCATGGTCAGCACGTAAGCTATCACATTGCCCTCCATGGATTTATAAGGAAACCCGAAAGCTGTTAAAGCGTAGGAAACATTTCTGGAACTTATTCTTGTTGACAGGTCATGCACCATTTAAGCGTGAGTATCAAAAATTACGTAATATCTGTAAGAAAACAATATCCAAATCTCGTGCCACTTACGAACGACAGCTAATATATGATAACCGTACTTGTCCGAAACGATTGTTTCCGTATGTTAAACGGCTAATGAAACGTAGTGATGGTATTCCCCCGTTACTGTTACACGACAATTCAGAATTACTAGCTGAATCAGATCGAGCAAAATCTGAGACTTTTTCAGACTACTTTAGCGAAGTCTTCTCTACGTTTATTGTAAGAAAAACTTGTCCCACTCACACCGAGATACCAGTCATTGAATCTGTAAAGGTGATTGGGGAAGCTGTTCTTCCGTTGATAACTAACCTCAAACTTGGTAAGATACCTGGCCCTGACGGGTTACATCCATAGCTGCTGTCATCTCTTGCGGACATTATTTCAAAACCGCTCGCGACACTCTTCAACATGTCCCTTTCACTCGTTCAACTACCCAGAGATTGGAAGGATGCTATAGTCAGTTCTATATTTAAGGACGGTCAGTGACAGATAGTATTCAACTACCGACCTGTCAGTCTAACTAGCATTGTCGTTAAGTTACTTGAAAAGATGATTCGGGTTAGTTTGCTAAGCCACATAGATTTATTTACACAATTTGTTAGCTCCTGAGCAACACGGATTTCGTAACAAGAGTTCATGCTGGACTAACTTGCTTATTGCGAGAGAGGATTGGACAGCAGCCCTAGATAACGGTTTGTCTGTCGATGTGATATTCATAGATTTTAGCAAAGCATTTGACAAGGTTTCACACCTAGGTTTTATGCAGAAGCTCACGAGCTTCGGAATAATAGGTACTGTACATGAGTGGATAGGAAATTTCTTATGTGACCGCAGACAGAGAGTGAGGGTCAACGGAACGCTATCCGATTGGAAGCCGGTCAAAAGTGATGTACCCCAAGGCACCATCTCAAGCCTTCTGCTCTTACTTCTCTACGTTAATGAGTTACCGTTGTTGCTTAGGTCCTCGACATTGTTTGCGGATGATGTAAAAATCTGGAGAACAATAAAAAGTGAGGCTGATCATCTGGATCTTCAAGCTGACTTAGATGATTTAGTTAGATGGGCTCGAGAGTGGGGCTTATAAATCAATGCTAGGAAGAGTGTGCTAATGCACATCGGTCACGGTAATAGTTACCGTTATACTACTGAGAGTAAATCACTTCCATGCATTCAAGAGCATAAAGACTTAAAAGTAGTAATAAGTCATGATCTAAAAACACCTACGCATTGCAAAGCAGCCGCTGTCAAAGGTTTTCGTGCGTTATGGTCACTTTCACGAGCGTTCAAATCTTTTGACGAGGAAACGTTTCGAATTTTATATCCCACATATGTAAGACCACATTTAGAGTACTGTATCCAAGCAGCTAGCCCGTGTCAGATAAAGGATACTAACTCCGTTGAGCGTGTCTAGCGTGTAAGAATAAAATTAGTGAAGGGTTTTTCTAGACTCCCTTACGATGAGCGTTTAAAACGCCTAAACCTTTTCCCCTTGTCGTATCGTAGGACACGAGGTGACCTTATACTGGCATTTCGTATCTTTAATTATGAGTTGAGTGTTAATGTCTTATCTTTTTGCTCTCTCAAGCACTAATAATTTCCGAGGTCATAGCAAGAAGGTTCATAAACCACGATCTTATAAACTTAAAGTGGGGTCCCGTTTTTCTCATCGAGTAGTCAATGAATGGAGCGTCTTACCCGAACAAGTGGTATCAGCTCCATCAGTGAATACTTCCAAAGAGAAGCTGGAAAGCAATGTCTCAGGTATAATACAGGTTCATCAATCTACTATCCTCATTACTGAAGACTGTAAATTGGAAGTTACTTGGTAATTTTTTTATTGACATTTCAATGATGCGGATTCTAGGATGACGCTACTTGACTAATTGGGCTTGATTTGTATAAATGAGTGGATATTCTGTATTTCACCAATATGAAAGTCTTTCCAGAGGGGTTAGTTTTTGTAATCTTCCATATTTCATGCATTATTATAGGATCTTAATTCCGGATTAGTAGTTCTTACGATTGATAAATTACTTGATCACCCAGTTGTTATATATCGACTACAATGGTGAAGATTCACAGACTGAGTGACTATCACTAAACACATTTACAGTAAAATTCCACGCAAAGTTCGCAAAGTAATAAAAAAGTTTGAAAAGTGTACATTGCATTTACCTTAAATGGATATTGGTTTCCATCCTCATGGGTTGTGTTTCGGGACTGCGTGTCCATAGTTAATCGCTACCAGAATGTTCCAATCTTTTGTTCAGTCTTAATGTGAACTTGTACTTGGGTACATTAGTTAACATTGCCAAATCCCATTAGTATAGAGATAAAATTGTCAGGCCAAATCCCAGAATAGTATAGATAGTAAGTTTATCAGTGTGAATAGGAACGACTAAGCATCGAAGATACAATTCAGCAAGAAAATATAAAATTACTGAAATAAAAACAAACATTCGATTACATGAGCAGTTTAAACAAGCACATAGTCTTGGATTTATTTGATTGTCAAGACTGGAACGATTCCAAGATTCTGAAGATATTTGTTCACATACTAGGAAGAAGAAAATTAGACAAATTTAACTCTCATTTCAAAGAAAATTCTTATCCTGTTAGATATAAAGGATGTTATTAGATATGTAAAATAAAAATCACTAGGTTCTGTAGTTGACAATGGTTAATGGCTGAATTTTGACCTGTGAGTCACGGGTTTAATGAGATTTACAGAGATAATTATTACATTTAACACACACGTACAGTAAACACGGTCAGTAGAGTAATATATAGACGCCAACATAATCATTGAGCAATAACCCAATTTGATTTTAACTATTTATTCGAAGCACAAATTTTGGTGCAAAATTGCACGAAAAAATGAGCCACACGAATGAAGTGTTAGTATTGTGAAGAGTTAAAAGAGAGAAGGGTAATAAAGTCAATTAATAAATCAACTACAATAGCATTTATTGATAAAGTTCAGTTAAAAAACGTTCAACAAGTTCCCTTAATTAACTCGTTTTTATGAAGAGCATAACTGAAAATTACAGCTGAATTGGTACTGGCTTATTTTCTGAGCCGAACCGAATGACGTCATAAACCACTGAATTGTAAAATCTCTAGGACCACAGCAAAAGTAACGGATTGACAGATACAAAACATACACCGCTTTCTTTCAGACTATATTACCATGTTATAAAATGCTGTTGTAAAAATGAGATAGATCCTTCATTTTATTGTTTTTTGTAAATGATGAATTGCATTACAATATCTGCTACTCCTACATTTACGTGTAATAAACATTATTAATCATATTCTATTCCGAAATATATTCTGATGAACTATAAGACCGCTTAGTCAGCATTTACCAACTCAATATTTTGGGAAGATATTTCAATTGATCAACGAGTGTAAGCAAGACAAAGTAATAATGAGTTTGTAGGTTTCACTACCAAGGTTTGACTTCATAATTTCAAATAAATCGAGCGTTGGGTAGATTGTTATTAATAAAAATAATATATTTGTAATATCCAGATGAGTAGAAAATTACTCAATGGGGTATTACAAAATTATTTTTATTAAAAGCAATAATGAATTTTAATTTGGTGGAACATAAATGGAATATAACAAAAATGGGTCTCTCTAATTAATTAATGACTGAGTTCTCGGGTATTGATCTCCATCCAGGAGGTCCACTTATCGACTTAGAATACGCAGATGACATAGTCCTGTTTGGTGAAGACGCTGATAAAATACAGTCTTTTGGTAGCAACAATGCCAGAATGTTTGGAATGCGCTTCTCTCCCTCTAAATGCAAGTTGTTGCTTCAGGACTGGTCTGCGTTAACACCTGAACTAAGGATAGGGAGTGAAGTAGTCGAACGCGTTGACAACTTCACTTATCTTGGAAGTCTGATCAGCCCTAATGGGTTGGTATCGGACGAAATCTCAGCACGGATTCGAAAAGCTCGTTTGGCTTTTGCCAACTTACGTCACCTGTGGCGAAGGCGAGATATCCGTCTATCAATAAAAGGACGAGTATACTGCGCGGCAGTTCGTTCTGTTTTAATTTACGGCAGCGAAACATGGCCATTAAGAGTAGAAGTCACTCGTAAGCTACTAGTATTTGGCCACAGATGCCTTAGAAATATTGCTGGCGTCTGCTGGGATCACCGGGTAAGTAATAGTGAGGTTAGACTCAGGGTATTAGGAAATGATGGTAAATCAGTTGATGAGGTTATGAATCTTCATCGACTGAGATGGTTGGGCCACGTGTTACGTATGCCTGAACACCGATTACCACGACGTGCAATGCTATCCGGTATTGGAAATGGTTGGAAGAAAGTTAGGGGCGGTCGAACCAAAACGTGGCATCAGTGCTTGAAGTCACTAACTTCTAGTCTGAGCCATGTTGGTAGTTGCAGACTACTTGGTTGGGGTCCCCGTGACTATCGTAACCAATGGTTGGAGACTTTTGGTGACATGGCTCAGAATCGATCACAATGGCGTCGGTGTATACACTCCCTGTCTTCCCTTAAACTAAGAGATTGAAAGCGCTTCATATCTTTCTTTCTACGAACCAATTCTTTCTTCTTGTACTATATCTCTATATGCAATCTTTCTCTTATATATTACCACCTTTTACCTAACCAATGTTATGAATCCGGTGTTCATCCTGTTGTGCTGACGCGGTATGGCAACCTAGACCGATGCACACATGTGCCTGGTCCTACGTTGTAGTTGACTGACTGACTGACTAATCAATTAATGCTATAGAAAAGATATCTAGCTTATACAATGTTGATATAGTTAGGAAGAATTGAATTAAATGAACTTAATTTGTTCTTACAGAACCTACTGAAAGTTTTAATGTACCCAAGTCAGTCAGTCTGTAACAACGTAGAACTTCGTACGTACGTACATCAGTTCGAGTTGCCACACCACATTAGCACAGAGATAAAGTGGTCGATTCAAATCCCGTAGTGGTGGAGGTAATAAGAGTATAAGCAGTAATTGGGAAGATTAGTGTTTGGAGATGTTACTTAAAGAGTATAATACAGTGAAATAAATTTGGAAAGAGAAAAAAAAGAGACGAGGAATCAGGAGATTAGAATTTGGGAGAACACAAAGAGTGGATGCACCTGCGCCATTGCAAACGATTTTTAGCCATGTCATTCAGGGTCTTTAACCATTGGTTGCTTTCATCTCGCGGTCCACAACCAGGTAGTCTACACCTACCAACATGACCACTTGTCAGTGACTTCATGGACTTGTGCCATGTTTTGGTCCGGCAGCCCCTAGCTTTCTTCCAATCCACTCCTATACAACAAAACATTGCACATCGAGGCAGTCGGTGGTTGGGCATACGCAACACGTGTCCCAGCCATCTCAACTGATGAAGTTTCACCACTTCATCAATTGATTTGCCATCCTTACCTAGTACCCGTTTCCTAACAACTGTGTTACTTACTCGATGGTCCCATGATATACGAGCAATGTTTCGAAGACACCTATGATCGAATACTAGTAACCTACGAATATCCTCTACTCTTACCGGCCATGTTTCACTGCCATAAAGTAGGACGGGACGAACTGCTGCGCAGTAAACACGTCCTTTGGTTGATAGACAGATATCTCGCCTACGCCATAAATGACGCAAGTTGGCAAAAGCTAGTCGAGCCTTCTGTATCCGTGCTGAGATTTCGTCACATACCAGACCACAAGGGCTGATGAGACTTCCAAGATAAGTGAAGCGGTCGACACACTCAACTACTTCACTCCCTATCACTAGTTCGGGTGTCGATGTAACCCAATCCTGAAGCCACATTTTGCATTTCGAGGGAGAGAATCGCATCCCGAACATGCTTGCATTGTTGCTTAGAGTGGTCAGAAGACTCTGCATTTTGTCAGCGTCTTCACCAAACAGAACTATGTCATCGGCACATTCTAAGTCAACAAGTGAATCTTCTGGTAGAAGTTCAACCCCTGGAAATTTAGATGAGGAAAGTGTCATCTCTAAAAGCACGTCAACGACAAAGTTGAACAAGAATGGAGATAGTGGGCAGCCCTGACGAACACCACATGATGTAATCATTTCTGATGACAGTTCGCCATAAGCTCTCACTCGACCAGTTGTGTTGGAGTAGAGAGCCTTTATAAGGTTAATGTACTTCTTTGGTACTCCTTTCAGTGGCAAACACTGCCATAGAACCTGACGATCAACAGAGTCGAATGCCGCCTTAAGGTCGAGAAATACTACGATTTTGGGGCGTCTGAATGTGTGTCTATGTTCTAGGACCTGACGTAGTGTGAATATATGGTCTATACAACCACGTCCAGGTCGAAAACCATCCTGATTTTTTCTAGTCACGAGCTTTAGTTAGGCGTCGAAGTACTATTGAAGCTAATATTTCAGACACTATATTAGTCAAACTGATTCCTCTGTGATTGTCACAAGAGGACTTTTGTCCTTTCTTATAGACTGGCACAATCAATGATTGAGACCAGTCAGATGGGATTGAGTCCAGTTCCCGAATTCTATCTAAGATCTCAGTTAATCTCACTGCTAATACTGGGCCATCATCCTTAAAAATCTTAGGAGTAAACCTGTCAGGGCCTGCTGCTCTCCCTCGCTTCAGATTTCCTATAGCATTTTCAACTTCATAAAGAGTCGGACGACCTACATTAACTTGCCATTCAGATTGACTGGAGATCGTGGGAAACCGAAGTGTGGCTGAAGGCCAGTTGAACTGATCCCTGAAGTGTTCTGCCCATCGATCCAATCTCCTGCATTGAGAATGTATAATATGTCCATCTTTCTCTGAGATTATTTCGCTAACAGTCGGGTTCCTAATACCGGATTCCTTAACAAGTCTGAACAATTGTCTGCTATTACCTATTGCCGCAGCCTTTTCCATCTCTCTTGCTTTCGCTATCCACCACTGTTCGCGA